GTATTACTCTAATAAATTCCTTCGTAGCGACAAAAAAAAAATATATGGAAAAAGAAAGAGAAAAGGTAAATGACCAACCGAAAGAACCCTCACCCTCTACCCCCGCCAATTAAAAGGTACCTAGCAAGTTAGAGGCTCGGGACCAGGTACTAGTTGGTTTGTATTGACATTGCCGACAGAGAGTGACAATTATGGTGGTTTTTTTTTCTCTCCTCAAAACATATCTCATGGAAATCACAACAAATAGAAATAAAACTAAACCAACTAACAAAAAACCTCTTACACTCTCCGACGCCTCAATCTTTCTTTTTCTAATATACGCGGTACCAATTTTTCTGAGCAGAAACAGCTGATGTCTCATACTTAAAATCGATTTGTAACATTTCCGTAGTTGATAGATTGGAAAGTGAAACTAATGATAAAAAAGACAATTAATTTTCCCATTTTTGGTTACTGTTTAAGTGCTTAATGTTCTGTTTGAGTGCTTAACTCAAACACAACATTCTATTGACACATATAAACGGATATATAAATGCTAAGATCCCTGGTCGGGTAGATAATGCAAATAATAATAATAATAACAACAAGGGGTGTGTTATTATTATTATTATTATTAGGAAATTACTTGTCATTCAGAAAGAAAAACTAAGATTTTTTTTGTTTTTACATTCTATTTTTGATTCAAAGGAATTTTAAGATTTAGGATATATAAGTTCGGTTATTGCAATGTAATAGACATTCAATCATTTACAACTCCACCAAAAACAGCACTTTACTCGTTTTTCATCCTTATTATTTCAACTTTGTGGCAAATTTTCTACGATCAGCATTCTTTGTTCCTGAATTCATCTTCTAAAATATATGGTTATATAATCCGATGACATCTTGTTATTAATTTAGTCAAAAGAAATCGAAATTCTACTGAGGTCTTCCGCAAAACTTGTTCAACCAAAAGTGAAAAATGTTTTCCAATACCCAAAATATCTTGGCAGTTATATGTTTCTTAGGAATCTTTGCAACGAACATTGCCACCAACCAAGTCGCAAAATTAAAAGACGATATCCTTGATTTAAATCTTTATACTTATAGAGCGATAAAAGATGCGAAACAGATATATGTAAGTATACAATTACTTTATCATGTCATAAAATTAGGGACAAATTTTGTTTTTCAGATATATCCACTAAAATATATAATGGTCACACTCCAAACCAATATTTTCTAAAAAGTCAATTTTCTATCGCTCACATTTTTAATATCCATAATCTTTCGATTCTATTGGTTGTAGATTCTTTTTTTTTAATTTCAAAAATTTCAATTTTTTTTGTTCAGTGAAAAATTCAACTCAAAATAGTTTCTTCCTTAATAAGGCATCTATGGTTCTTATTATTTATTTCTTTAATATATAAAATAATGATTGGGGTATATTGATGATGTTATAGAGAGAATCTACCCGTTATTCCATCCGATACAAAAGTAACCAGATCGATATACGCAAGTTGATCAATAAGTTCATAGCCTAGTTAATACTTGAATTTTTAGGTGGAATATTCACTGTATATTTTTCAAGCTATTTGATTAATAATGTAATATTCACCATTGCATTAAGTGCATTAACATGGATGAACGTTACATTGCAAATTCAATTTTTTTTTTATCTAAAATAAATGTTTTTCCCCATTGGGCTACGGACTTATTGATGTGCCTATTTGATACGCACATACCACGTTGTTCTTTACTGGTCTCTTAAAAACTGATCAAATAAGAATCGTATTTTCGCAAATATCAACGCAAACACTGGACATGGGATTTTGTTAATCATTGCAGACACGGTACGACAAAATAAAAAAAAGTCGGCGGTATTAAATATCAGATGTTAAAAGCTGGGGAGTAAGTCAGATGTTAAGCTTTTTTTTTAAGATTCTTGATTCTAAATGTTTTTTTTTTTTCCTTATGATCCACTTATAAAATTAGGTACCTCCCCATCCTGTGACCAAAAAGAAAGCGATACCTTAGGTTTAAAATGCATTTTAAAAATTGAAAAATCTTTCTTGAACCTTTTATTTTAGTTTGAATTCCAAGCTAATAGATTAAATTTAATATTTCCAATAACTAGCATAATCTGCTGTATTTCAAACCGAATTTAAATTGTTTAGAATAATTTTATTTTTTTTAATTACAAAATTCTCTTAATTACAAATCTTTCAAAAATAGAATATACTTTTTTTAAATCTTTATTTGAGGAAGATTAATCCAAATTAAAGTTTAATTAATCTGAATGAAAACAAATATTACTTTTAGTTTAAAAGCATTTTTAACACGGAGTTGTGTGTTTTAACGAAGTATTGAGAGATTTATCGATAATTTAATGTTTGGATTTTTTAAGTAAAAGGCACATAACTGTATCAATTACTTGACAAATTCACCGTAAGAGACTTTTTTATATACTTTTTTTGGTTTTTAACTAGGCAGTAATCTTTAAAAATTATGAAAATATTCTAAGTAATCCAATATTTTATTGAATTTTAGGTACTGTGGCTTCATAGTATTACTTACGAAGACGCTTGTTGAATAAATATTAGAAAATTCTCAATAAATTTTAAATTTACTGAAGTTATCGCTCTTATTTTCTATAATATTGTGTAAAGACATCAGCATTTACAAAAAATCAGCACATTTATATAGAAAAAACCCCCCAAAAAACAAAATTCTTTTTAAAATATTGGAGGTCATTGAATTGTAGTAAACTTTTCTGTTTATGATTAGTAAATATAGTTTTTACTTAATAACAATATCACCTAACCGGCACAAATTAATACAGAATTTTAAGATTTAAAACTTTATAAATTATTATAATTAAAATTTTAGAAAAATGAAAATAATTCTTGTAAAACTTTGTTATTGACCGAGAAAAAAATTTAGATCTATTCATAACAGATTTTCTGTATGATAAAAAATTGATAATTTATATTCTCAAATGACCTGTCCTTATAACTAATATAAACATTAAACTACAAAAGTAAATCGCTCGAAATTTCATAAAAATAGCAGAAAAAAATATATATTTCACCAAAGAATCGTTTTTAAAATAACTTCATTAATTTTTAATTTGTGAACAAGTCCGGAAAAATTATTTAAAATCCCAAAATTATTTAATTTTTGCAAGAATTTCAAAAAACAATGCGTTTTTCACCGCAAAAAAGACGCTCAGATTTCACCCGCCGATGCAAGAAAAACAAAATTTTTAACCAAAATGTTGAAGGTTTTTATGAAGAATAAAAAATATAATTTAATAATAAAAATGATTTGGTCTTTTCCATTAATAATAACATAAAGATTTTGACGTTAATATTTTGTTTTTATTAGTTTTGGGGCATTTTCTCATAATCTGCTCATCTTTTTTTTATAGTATCTTTGGAGATACCTACATAAAATGAAAAAAAACCCACATTTTTAGATGTATTTTCTTTTTTTTTAATTTAAATATACACTTTTTTTTGGTTCCTTTCTGTTTATTTTCTCGAAATGAGACCTATAGACATTTTTTCTGCGTGTAAGACTTCTACAGAAGTTTTAGAAGCTAATGTTACGAAAAAAAATGAGAAGCTTTATTTTGAAAATTAATGGCAGTAATGATTTTAGATATATTATATAACTCATTTGGATGACATTGACATAAATTAAGACTAAGAATTAATTAGAACCCTAACAGCATCGATACCCTGCACATGTGGTGCTATATATATATATATATATATATATATATATATATATATATATATATATATATATATATACACTGTTACGCTTCTATGTTTTAGCTTTTACTTAGTTTGAAGTTTTATTTTTCGTTTTAATTTCCGTAACATGGGCAAAATTTAGTTGTGAAAACAAAAAGAAGGAAAAACAAAATTAACGTGAACTAATAAATGTGGACTAATATCCTCATTTTTGTTATTGTTATCACAACTTTTCGGCAGCAACCTTCAGGGAATTTCGAACTGTTGGAGTTGATTGTCTTCATTCTATTCTCCATATCTAGTGATGTCTCATGTTCTTATTTAATATTGCTCAGTTATTGTTTGTCTTGTTCCACTGTGTCTGCCTGATGCAGGGATTGAACTCACAATTACTACCTCGCCAAAAAAAAAAAACATTGCATCCACTGGGTAAAGAGTAGAGATCATGAAACCTTCAAAACCTAAACTGTCTGCTAATGAGAGTGCTCTGCTACTACTTGTCATGCTTAGATGCATTCACCAAAGCTTCTCTCACTCTTTTTCTCTTTCCTGTTTTACTTTTAAATTATGTAAATAATGACAACTTCTCATCCCAGAAAGTCAAATTTTTTTAGCATTAAATAAAATATTGTTTAAAATTTTGTCAACGCATTTATGACTGATTTTTATCGCAAGAAGTAAAATTATTTCTTTTTTTTTTAAGCAGCAATAATCATAGAAATATAATTTGAAAAAAATGTTATTTTGATAATTTTATTTGATTTTGAAAAATATTCCTTTTTGCTTAATAGAACATATGTCTTGACTCTTGAAAATATCAACTTAGGTCAAAGGTCAGTTGGTAGTTGTTTTACTCTACTACTCTTGATAAGAAACTACCAAAAGTTCTTTCCTGGGCGGGGGGCGTCTTCAGTTTAATTACAAAAGACCAAAAAGGACAAAAATATAACAGACGACATATTTTCTTTATGCTTTTAAACTAGAGAAGATTTCTTTTTTTGTGATAAACTGCGAAACACAAGTTTAAAAATCTACCCACAATTAACTAATTATCAAAATTCAAACAAATTTTACTTAAATTTTCTTTATTTACGATAGAATTTATTTATAAAACAGGAATTTTTCCCGAAAAATTTGTGGAATGTCAGCTACGCGCTTACCTTAGGGTTTCCAAGTTCCTTAACTGAAAATGCGGGACAGAAAACGGGGATAGTATTTATCAATCAGGGATCCGAGTATCCTGTGGACATGTTCTCAAACATGGGGTCCGCTGACCCGTAAAACTAAATTAAATCATTTAGCAATTTTTGAGCGATAGGAATTATGAAAGTGAAAAAGCAAAAGAGTGAGAAAAGAATAGAGAGAGAGAGAGAGAGAGAGGGGAACAGACAGATTCCATTCGTTCGTGTTTATTCAGGACATCTTTTAAAAAAAGCGAAATTTATGCGTAATTTGAAAAAAAAAAGAAAGTATCACCGATTCTCAAAATGCGGGAAAAAAAGGGTGCCGCGCATCAGTTCATGTGAGACATTTTCTTCGGCAAAATTCCAGCATTTCGGCTGGCAACCCACCCACCCTAAATAGAGATCTATTTATTTAGTTTTGTAATATTCTTGCATTGATCTTGTTTTCTTTTTACTTCAGAAATTTAAAATTTAAATTAATTATGAATGGTGCATTTTAAATGTTCAAATAAACTCCAATCCACTGGTTCAGACCTTTACATCTTGGACATACTATGCTATTGCCACAGAATCGAATGATCCTCGTTGACTCCGTCTTTCACTCAGGCATCTTTACCCCCAATAATTGTCATTTTTGTAGAAGAGACTCCCACATGGGTGCTTACCTGAACACAACAATGAACGTCCTCTTCAAGCCAAGAATCAATCTTTATCTATCCTCCTTATCCTCATAATCTTGACTTTCTCCTACCTTGTCCTCTTTCATTCATATCACACATCCATTCATTATTACAATTTTAATAGTAATCCTCTGCTTTGAGTGACTCTCTTAATGTAGATATCAATTAAAAAAGGAAATATTTAATTTAATGTGTATGGGATTAAGAGGATACGTGAAATAAATGGATCCATTTCATTCTGTAAATTGTGTTGTGTATCTAATTTAAGGAACACCGCCTTCTGTCGTGTGACGTTAGATTTTAAACAGGCAGGAAGACGCCTTTTCTTACATAGTAAATGTGAATAGTAACTTATTTCGATTAAATAAAAACATGCAAATAAAAAAAAAACAATTTAACTAATCATCATTATCAGTTCCATAACAGGGTGTGGTTGTAGGGTTGTTGTGCAGCTGAGTACTTGGCCGCTTCCCATGGTATATCTGGGTTGAAAGCCCGAGTGGCATTCATCTATGCTTCGTTTGTCTTGGGCAAGTAGATCTGGCGGAACCCATCTATCTTCATATCAAACCACGATTGATGTCCTCCACCTTGTTCACGGACACGTGTTCGTTGACTTAATCGAGGAACCTTTTAGTCTAGGAATTCCTCTGTCATTACCACACTGTCTCCATCCATAGCTATGAAGCCCAGTTTACAACATTGTGGTAGATACCTGTTGACTCTGCAAGCAAGTTCATCTGACCTTTGACAAGTCTTTAATCTTGCTGGGTACCTAGCCACCTTCTTCGCCAGAAAATACTTAGTGTTTATTTGTCGATAACTCGACCATGTGGCAGGTAATAGTAGGTTACATTGTGCCAGTCGCATTTACAGAGCGAGGTCTGACATAAAAATTAACAAATACATTTTTATTTCAGTGTCAACGTGTGCCCCTGTTGTCCACAGATGATTGCGACCAATTCATATCCAGAACGCTAAAACCACTGACTCATTTGCCACAATTGAGTTTATCGCAAAAAGTAGATGTTAAGGATGAAAAAACATTTCACGTGAGTATTTGACATTATAATCTATTTTCTTAGCTTGTAACTTTTAATTTTAATAATTTTTTTTATTGCTAAATAGATATAACAATGTGAAAAATTGGTAGAGTTATCTTCTCCTTTTCTACCCTTATTCTGTTTTCAATATGGTTATCTCTCAGGATATACGTAGAAAACTCAGGACTGTCGCATAATTTCTGTTTTTGGAAGGAGAAAGTACTGCAAACATTCGCAGAGATTAGTAGATGTTTATGGGATTGTTGTAATTCATGCAAGTGCAGTAAAGAGATGTGTCACTAGAGTTACTGGAAATTGATTTTACTGTTTGTTACTGGCAATACTAGAAGAAATTGACTTTAGTAACAGGGTTTCTGTGGCAGGTCAACTGCTACTGTCAATGAGAATAAAGCCTAATAGACTGATACTCTAATTACAGTTCTCAGGAAAATCACTATTTCAAAACTGTGAAAGCCTTCAGGTGAGATATGGTAGTGCTTACAATATGATGCTCATTGTTGTCTACTTAAAGGTCTGTATAAAAAGGATTCCTATGATATTGACAAATGCTATGATTTAGCAGATGGTGATTAATGGACATGTCACCGTCAGATTTGCATTTGTCCTGACCCATTTTAGTATGCTTTGTGTGCGCCTTGTATTAAATCTGTTGTAATTAAAGAAGAACAGGCAATACTTTTTGGTTTAGAAAATTGAAACGAATCTGCGTGATGAATAATCAAATTTCACATTTTCACTCGGAGCAAAAAGTCAATATTCTACATTAGTAAAAGCCAAGAGTGTGAATGCTGACTGAATTTTAAGACAGACAGCTTCTCCAAAATTAGAACCTGGTGTCGTAAAATCTTCCTGAGCCATTTGTAATATTGTAGGGACGAAATCTCCATATTCAGAATTCCCTGCCAATTGATCTTCCAATGGATTAAGCTGAGTAAAGATTTACATACAAGAGGCATAGTGGTTAAAGTAGTTGTGCTATATTCTCACTCTTTTCGTAGACCTCAAAACCGCCGTAGGGTTTGGGCAATTTAAATTCTATCCTGAAATTTTCTACTTCATCCAATTTCGATTCTTGTCCTTTTGATACAATTCCAAAGGCACCAACTATTATTACCTTTTTTTATTTTATTTTTATTGTAGTCGTATCGCTGTTGTTTATATTAAACATATCGTTTATTAGCCCTTCATTTCTTCTCTCGTTTTAGGATCTTTTAGTCAATATGACAACGACAATCAGTGCATCACTCATTTTGGTCAAGCATGAAATGAACCAAGAACACAAGATTTTATGCCAACCTGCAGTAGCCTTAGGTGTCAAGTGTCACTATCCAAATATGTGTAAACACGTCAGCAATGACCACAACGCCATCTTTTATTGCAAGCTTCATTTTGTTCACAGTTTTCTTGAAAATTTCCAACATTTTCTCAGTTTCAAGGTGAGTACCTTCTTTTTTCTTTTTACATTTTTAATAAGAGAACGTAAGGAAATAAACTATTTTACGCTACCATTTCTAGGTCCTTCTGTGTGGTGCAAAAAATGTTATCTCCCGGTAGTTCTTTGTAGATTTCATATCAGTCCTTGTGCCATTCATGGATTATAATATTCTTACGAACAAACAGCATTCTCTTCCATTTTCCCTTCAATTGTTGTGTAAAGGTCAAATGATACAAAGTACAGCGTATATGAAATGTCCAATCGTTCATCTTGCTTTCGCAACTGGAGAAACCAAATATTTGTCGAATTTATAGAATGCGACCCTTGCCTAATAATCACCCCCACGTTGCATTCCCATCCCTAATCTCGTCGGTGGAGGCTACAATTATAGATTATTCTTTTTTTTTTTTTTTGTTACCTTCTTGTAAAATCGCCAATTTCTTTTTGGGCTGCTTATTAATATCTATATCTTTCTGTCTCCAGATTCCTGGCACCGTGGTCTTCCCAACTGTTATGGACGATTTCATAAGTTTGCGAAAAGATCTATTCAATATTTTCCGACGTTGGTATACAATGACACTACTCGATAACACACTAACACAAACGGACTTTTTTCAAAAAGTAATGAAATCTTGAACACATATGAAAAAAGAATTATTTTACTCACTTGTTACTGTTTTTGTTGATAATCTTATTAATATTTATTCGACATTTTTTATTTTTTTTATTTTCTAATGTCAAAATCTGATCGATAATTTATTGTAATCAAATTCTTGTGACTGTATGTCTGTGTTATGATTAACATAGACTAAAATTGTTGTACATCTCTTCAATTTAACCATCTTGCAAGTTGTGCTTTTACGAAGAGAAAATTGAGCCTTTTTCACTGAAAAATGAATCTCTGTCTCTCTCTGTCTCTCTCCCTTTCTCTGTCTCTCTCCCTCCCTCTCTCTCACTTTATTTTTTTCATTGGTGTTCAGGATCGACTTCGTTGAAATGAAAACATTCTTTTTCTTCTCAACAGCTGGATTTATCGATGCATTTCCGTTGAATTATGGATAATAATGAATCAAGAAAAAATTAGTAATAGACTAAAAGATTCCATTACAAACCATTACGTATCGAGTTTAGATTCATCTGGAAGGAAACTATAGGTTGGTGACACCTAATGGGTATTGAATTCACTCTTGTATTAAACCGTCTATGGATTCTTAAAATTATTTCACAGCGTGGCTTCCATACATATCATTATTGATGTTTTCATTAAAGTAGTAACAGCAGATACATCAATGAACCTTTTGTCATTCTGTAGAATCAAAATAATTGCACCTTTAAACATACACGACATCCATGACTATCCATTTGTGAGGCTATACGAAATATCCAAAAATAATTCATTAAACGGGGGAGGGGTAAAAATTAAATAGTGGCTCATTTTTCTTGGGACTCTTTCCAAAAGCGACCAATTAATCTAAAAATGAAAATCTAAATAAAACATAGATCTCAATTGTTCAATTTAAAAAAGTGTCATGGAACAAGTCTAAAAATGAGGTATGTCCCCAAATCAGGTAAATTCCGGAAAATTGTAGAAAAATTACACTCTCATCATGTGACCCTTTGTTTGAAAGCTTATATTATACCGATGAAGAATATAATGTTCAAATGTCCTTAAAGATAACACTAAGTATAATAAGACGACATTTTGGCAGTTAATGTTGAACTACAATAACACACCAACAAAACTCGTGTCCATTGTGTAAAAAATCAAGATGCTCATTCGATAAATGAAAAATCGAATCAAATAAATTGAAATCAACCATTGTATCACCAACAGAAGTTTCTTCTTTTTCTTGAGTCTGAGAAAGTTTGAAATATGGATTTATACTGATTTTTATATATTAATTTAGACATCTGTCCCACCCTTGCATTGAGACGTTCTGGTAGGAAATTTAACTTTTTCATGTTTTGACTTGTATATTCTTCATTTCCACAGAAACATGCTTTCAAACGAAGGGTCACGTGATAGGCTTTGAGAGGAAATTTTATTTTCCCTATTTCGGCTCATTTTAGGATAAGCCTCGTTTTGGAACTGGCTCCGTAGCAGATTTGAAAATTGTGTCACAGAAGTCATTTTAGTCTGGATCACATTTTTAGTTTATTTGGACACTTTTGTTAAATGCCTGAAACCTGTTATATCTTACGTCTACTAGTAATTAAATTATGCTGAACGCTATAACATATCAAACATCTATATATTGTCAGTTAGTTTCTTTTTTAACACTTTCTGTTGCATTGCCGGTTAGTGAATGACAGTGTTACCTTGGTCACAGAAAAATTGTAAGCATTTAATAATGTGTTTGTTGTTGTAGATAATCGTCTGCAAATATTGCATACAGACGCGGAGATATGTTAAAAATGACTGTTAAAAAGTTGACAGCTTTTCGATCAACCCTTCTAAAAGACAAGAAGATCGTTGATAAACGGGAGATATCTAATTAGGTTTGATCGAAAAACTGGCCGTTTTAGAGGATTTACACCAAGTTTATCTTTTTAACAACAATTTTCAACATGTCTCTGTTTCTTGTTATATTTAAGTTTGGAAATGTTAACAAATGATAATCGACTCTCGCAACGACTTATGGACAAGCTAAAAATATTTTAAAGGCTCAAGTATATTTTACTTTCGGCACAGGTGGTAGCAAATGGCCAAAATTGAAGAGGTTATATAAAAGTTAAAGCAAAGCTTTATTGAATTTTACTGACAAATAGTAGTATTTATTTTTATCAATAATTTCCTTCCATTTTATTTCAAGTGACTATTTTTACCTCATAGACAATCTTTTTTTCTCATTTCAAACTTTTAATATTAAAAAAAGGAAAATTGTTCTTCAAAGAAATTGTTTTCTGTTTGTATATTTTAAAGATGAAATAAAATGCATTTAACACAAAATGAACTCTTATGATTTCTTTTAAATTTGCTCATACATTTGTTGTTCTCCACTCAGCTAGACGCTCATCGTTAATAATAATAATAATGATGCAATGAGATTGGTAAATAGGATTTTACCTATTTGCATATATTGTTTATAGGAGCAAAAAGTCAAATGGGAGGAAGTTGATTACTGATCACGTGTCATAGAACAACACTATACAACAAAATAGCATCATCGGAAGGACGTTTAGGTTGTGTGGACGAACCAGAATTTGTCGAAATTTGTATTAGGTGATTTGAAACCAAGTCTAAGTCTAAAAATTGAAATTCAGCAACGAGAGAGAGAGAGAGAGATAAGTTATAATTAACATTTCTGTTATGGCATACCCATGGCGTTCTATACTCCATATTTCTAAAAAATAAGAAAAAATATCTATAATTTAGAAAATGAAGTCAACCACTTTATGAAATACTTAGAATAACATTTTTATTCACACCTGGGGATAATAGGATGTGTTGAAAGCTAAATAAATGAAAATATGTATTTTTGCTATGAACACTGATAATTATCAAACAACACAAAGGGGTAATTATGATTTCTGGTAAAAGATATATTGAATCAGAAATTTATATTATTTACAGGTGTTACTGAATCCTTTATTCAATCTATTCCCTGTGAGTGAATAAAGACTTTGGTTTAAATTTACATTACAGTTACTCGGTTTGACAAACAGAACCCAAGAAGGCTGGAAGACATCAGCCGAAGTGTGTATATAAACAATCAATCATCGCAGAAATATAGACAAATAAAACAAAATCATTCTAGGAAAGTTTCAAAACTTTTAGAGCTGGTTCTTTTTCTGATCTAGGTATGCCTTGTTTGCAAAATTTTTTCAAAAATAGAAGCATGCTTTTTCTCCATGTTGAAAAAATGAAACTCAGAAATAAGCATAAAAATCTTACTTAATGATTTATAGCAAACCTTTTCCTTTATTGTATGGAAAAGGATGAAACAAAAAAATAACCATTGACAAGTGTGGTCAGAAGGAACTTTTAGTTTTGCACGGTCAATTAAATTGGTATATATTTCCATACTTTTCATAATAAAAATTGGTTTCACATTCACTGGGTTGATTATCATTTCTTGTAATATATCCAGCTATGTACACAAGAACCATTTTTATTACATTGGAAAGAGATGGTTCTAAATTTTCCAGATTGTCAAATATTTCTGAACCTTCCTCACAAAGTTTATAATCACAAGATGTACATTGGTGACCTGGATTAACATCAAATTCATCAATATTTAAATTTTGATTTAAAAGTAAAGATGTCTGCTTAATATGCAGCTTTTCAATACATCGTTGAACATTTATAGGTGCCACCTGATCCTTGGCGAAGTTTACCAAATTCTTTTTCTAATGGATCAGTTGAAAATTGCCCAAGTAGTACATATTTATGAATTGTAGCTAAAAGGTGTCGACATAGACTAACAATTCCATTGCAAGTATGATTTATGGCAGTATCAGTGTTTTGGGATAATTGTTTTTTTTTACGATTACCTTGACTGCCAGCCATATTAAGAGCCATTTTACCAAATTCAATGATAAAATCAAGTCGTGTGTCATTTGGAGATCTGATTTTAGCTTGTAGAGGATCATTATGTAATTTATCAATTTAAAGGGATTTAACATTTAAAATTTTCCACCATGTCAAAACCTTGTTTATGAAGAGGGCAGTATCATTCTTACCTGCACTTATTTCAGACTGAGTGAGAAGTGCATTATATGTTTTTTTCAGAAAACACTCTGAAGCAAGTAGAAACCCGTTGTCTTTCTACTGGCTTTAGAGCAATGGAAATTTCATTTAAATCTGAAAGTTTGACTAGTCTTCCAGATTCAAAACGATATAACTGTTTAAGATGTGTCCATTTTGCAACTCGAGTTACTCCATCATCATCAAAGATTAGTTCTGTTTTTTCTGTCGGCCACAAATTGCGAATATTTTTCAACAGATGAACAATCAAAAAGCAAATGTTTATTATCTTCAGTTAACCAAGGTTTTTCAGGAAGTGTAGGATATAATTTTTAAAAAAGCTTGATTTACGCGGTTGCCATCACATATAATAGCCTTTACATCAGCTGGTACAGATGTGATGGCTTAGACTGTTAACTCAATTTGTTCAAATAAAAAGGTGGATGTTAATTTTGAAATTGGAATCAATTTTGTAAGAAAATTTGGACCGCCATTGAGACATATCAACATTATACCAAGTACTGTTTGAGCAAGTACAGATGGATTGCCAACTGATTTACCAAATAGTTGTTTGCCATGATATAGCAACATCTTTTTGATATATACTTCATCATGGAGAATTATGCACCCTTTTTGACTGGTATTAAGAGTATTAAATATAGATAACAAAAAAAAATTTTCATTAAGTTTTGAAACTTTTGATGTCATCCTTCCTAACTGTTTAAGATGTGTCCATAATGAGGCTAATTGAAAATCATATCTTAATTCATTATACAATGTCCGTGATCTTGCATAGTACCCAAAAGCACGCACAACTATATCTGAGCTGTATTTTATTCCAACTATTTTGGGAGTCATTGCTAAAAATTGTTGACTCAGGATATTTTTCTTGTGATCAAAAGCCATAGAATTTAAATATCGGATGATTTCTTCCAGTTTTGACCAAATATCAACTGTATTTATACGATTTTTGGACAGACTGCTAATATAACACTTAACTCCATAATGAAATGTTTCAAAGCGCAAATTATTATAAATTTTCAACATAAAGAGAGGAATACCATCAATATATTTTGATGATTGAACAGTTAAAATATTTTCATCCAAAAATGCTACAATTGGACATATAAAGTCTTTTTTTGTTGTTAAGCAGACTTTCTTTCAAATTTGTATAATTAATTTTATCTAATTCTAAAAAAGCATTAAGTTCATCAGCAATTTGATTTCTAACAGTACAGGAGGTTTTTTTATATTTCTTTGAACAGCTGAGGGTGTTGGTATTTGACTATTTGGCACACCTGGCCATAGAGATG